AAGAGACGACGCTGATGTAATGACCGAGCTCGTCATGCTGCATATTTTTGCTGCTGTTTTTCCCAAATGATAAAGGTGTCGTAAAAGCCTCATGTTGAACAACATGCTGGTGTAACACACTGTAAATCAAGTCTTTTTTGCCAGTTCAGCATCTAACCTGTCGAACTGCTACATCAGCCAGAAAAAAAAGGTTCACAGGAATGTGAACAAATCTGTGGTGTACAGTACCATTACTCGGTTCAAGAGATACTGTAGGTACTTGAGTTATTGGTCAAAATCAGTGGCAGGCTGAATATAATACATATGATGTAACACAAAATGCATAAGAATAGGTCAGCCACTTGGTGAAGCAAAAGTAAAACAGATTGGAGCAAACTAAGACCTGTGAACATCTCTCGTTGGTATTGCCTTAGTCCTTAGATTTATGGAGATACTCTTTCTCCTTGTCTCTGTTGACTCTTTTTTTTTTAAATTATGACTAAGGTGCACTTTTGTAGTTTTACTACCGATGCGTCATCTGCCTGATTAAAATGTAAATAGTCATTGACAGCACGTTTGTTATGTGACTATTTCCAATTTTCCCTGAATCTGTTTGTCTCTTAATTAACTGCAGATGGTGACAGTTGGTGTTGTTTTCTTTATCAACATCTTTTCATTGCATTCCCAGTTCACCCACATTTTTTTAATGATCATAATATTAATTCATATTATTACTACTGTAAAATAATAACAATAATAATATGAATAATAATCATTAGAATAAGAATAATACTTATTATTATATAATTTAATGTTAACCAGTGAAAAACTTAATATAAACTAGTTGAATGACTTTATGATGATGATTTTATCAATGTTATAAATTGGATTATAATTTGAAACAACTAACCGTATCTTTCCTTAACTACATACGTAAACACAAGTTAACTTTGTGAATCCATTTTATATAAAGCCATTGCGTTTGTCATGCACAGACTGCATACTATTGAAAAGTCATTACTCAAATGAGACCCAGTAGGATTTGGTTTCAGAAGGACTCATTCAGTGTTGCATTCTGAACAGGACAACTTAATGGGAGGAAGTTGTTTGTGCTTCACATTGCCAATGTTCAAACCATGTGTGGGGGAAAAAATAAATCAATTCAGTGACAAAACCACAGCTGTGGATTCTGAGTGTGTGCCGTAGTGAAGGGGAATTAAACAGGGAACAGAATGTGCCGGAGAGAACAGAGCCTCACAGACACAGGATTTTGGTTTTACTGCAGCCCAAGTATCATTTATTATTTATTGTCCCAGTGCTATTAGGATGCAGGGCAAAAAAAAAAAAGCAAACGCAACAACAACTGCTCCTGGGTCCTAATAATGTTTGGGGACTCCCTGCTGCTTCCTCTCACAGAAACACTTTCTGTCTGTGGAGGAACAAAACTAGTTTGTGCTGCAGGCCAAAAGTTGTACGTTTGACTCTAAAGACACAGTTCATTTGTGGACTAATAAAGTGTGCAGGTGTAAAAGGCCGATGGTAAAAATGGTTATTCAATGAAAAACACATTTGGAGTAAAGGCTTCAAACCTAACTGTATCAGATTAAAACACTAAGTGCTCAACTGAGTTGGTCGGGTTTTAATTAAAAAAACAAAACAAACAAACAAACAAAAAAACGTGACAGCAGCTGCAATATATTTACATACAAATTTAAATAGTAATATTTTCTGACAACTAAGAAACAAACTGTAGCTTTAGGGGAAGGATCACTATATATTTAAATACTATTACAGCTAACATCTGACTAATACACTGCTAATTGATACATGCTAGCATGTTGCCAAGACATAGCAAACATGCTACCAAAATGAGTTTACATAAATACTTTTCATAAATCTTTGCAAAAGTACCGTATATGTGTATCTTGTAACAGGTTGTTAATTGTATTTAGCACCAACCACAGGCCAGGAAAGAAAGTGACATGATCAATGCTGAAAAACATAAATGACCATAATCACTTTCTTCCCTGTTAAGATTTAAGGTTGTTTTGCAAATAAAAACAAAGATGAGAAACCAAATTAATTGTTTTGAAACCAAAATCTGTTGCGAGTATTGGGGAAGCGTTTATAAAAATGATTGGTGGGTGTGGAATGGGCGTGGTTATAGAGCCAAGCCTGTACGTTTGCAGTAAAACCAGATGTAGTACAGGACGTTCTGCATATACAGTACGTACATCACACGTGTGTGTGGTGGGGTCAGTAAATTAATTAATAAGTGCACAGCTGTGTGCACGAGTGGTCAGTGGCTTTTTTCACTAAGAGAACGTGACAAAAGGTGAAAAGTTGTACAATCAGAAGAATAGATAACACTGATATTATAATCCTTATACAATAAATAGTTGATTTTGCAGTAATCTAAGACTCTTCTGGAAGATTCTCTGCTGTTTCCAAAGATGTTGCTCCATGTCCAGATGATTCTTAATGCAGAATCAGTAAAAAACTTATCCATTGTCCTATCTATCTATCTATGTTAGCTGCCGTGGCCTGGAGGTGACCTTACCAAAAACATTGTCTCAGTGTGTGTTTGTTTACATGACGTTGCTCAGGGAAATAATGTTTGGGTGAGGCAGGGTTAGACGTGTTTGTGGGTAAAGGTTTAATTTATTGCATCTATTTATGGCCCGCAGAACTTCCTGGTGTTGACTGTAGCAGTTCAGCCAGTGTCGCGTCACACTCGTGGGTTCCCACATCCCACGGCTGAGTGTGACGGTCAATCTGATGACAAAACCACACCTTCTAACAACACTAACTAGGTTTCTCTGTTCTACATGCAAGTAATCTCAGCAGGGAGGTTTCATCCTCAGGAAACCAGAAACCTAAAAAAATAAAACGCCTATGTGACTCAAACCCATTTATTTAAAGTAGGGGAAGAATTTTATCAGATGTCATGAGTCACCTGCCGACCGTTTGTGTTGTTTTAGTTTTTGCAGTTGGAGCAACGAAAACATGACGCAGGAGTGGAGCAGAGTTTGAACAGCTCAGCAGGTTCTCGTGACTGAATGTTTAGTCTAACGAGGAGCAGTGGGAGTAATTAGGAGGCCTGGCTGAGTCACAGTGGTTTCCAGTACGCCTTTTAACCATTCTGCCTGGGGATAGCCCTCAGTACATTGACCTACTGAATTATTTCAACCATAAACTGAAGTTACTTCCACCAACAACGATTGTTGTTTTACTGCAAACTAGTTTAACATGACAAATATTTGTTCTGTGAGAACAAACACCTGAGAAGTGCGATACTAATTCACACCTGAGCACAGGTGCTGTTTTAAGGTAGTAAAGAGTCAGAGCTGAGTGTTAGGGGAATTGGTTGATTGTTGTTTATTTTGGTTAAATTACCCAATACAAAATATGACGGTTTGTTTTCCTAAGTGTTGTGTTGTGTTGTGTTGTAACATGTTTAGACTTGTTTTTGATTTGGTAGAGATCATGGTCCCAGTGAGCATGCTGTTATACTGTACAGAAACCAACAGGAACAAGTTGAAAAAAAAAACAACAACATCAGAATTGGTAAGAAAACATCAGCACAGATTCAATGAAACCAAGTGTTCTACTGTATTTTCATGACATTTCATTGTATTGTAATTTATTGATTTTATGTTGCTTCTGTGTGGCATTTGGCCCAGAGGCAATGTCTCTGTCATTGGTGTGGAACCCAAGATTGAATCCCAGTTAGGGCAGTTGGTACCTTCCAGTGGACTCACCACCCACAGGAAGGTTCAGGGGGGTTGGTACGGTGCAGTGTGATTTGGGTGGTGACTGCTGCCCCCGCGACCCGGTAACAGATAAGCGGATGAAAATGAATGGATGAATTGATGTTGCTTCTGTTGGAGATGACAGAGATTCAAAGAAGATTAAACTCCAATCAGAGTCACAAGTCAGTAAAGTGGATTTGAACCCAAACTCTAAAGTAGTTTTATTCAGACTCCACTTTCTTTTAAGGTACTGTTGTCACAGCCCTCTCATTTAAAGGTCAAACCTCACAGCAGGGGGTCAGATTGCATTAGACTGACATTTTGTTGCTGTCCATTTACACTGAGGCAGTGTAGATAGACAGAAGTCAGAGTGTGAGGAAATGAAGATGTTCACATTTTCACTGGCAGTGACCAGGATGGACAGGATTATATGTGATCAGATCAGAGGGACTGTTAAGGTGGAGCAGTTTGGAGCTAAAGTTAGAGCGGTGAGGTGGAGATGGTTTGGACATATGTTGAGGAGGGTTAGTGGAGAAAAAGAAGACAGAACTAACTTTTCTCTTTTTTGATCATGGGATTCAGCTTAAATTTTAAGTTAGTTAAAAAGACTCTCTTCACCTAATGAATTTGATGAAGTCATTTTTAGTTTCTCTTCAATGACGAAAATTCAAACTTGAAACACCTGGACATAACAAAACCCAGACTGTTAACAACCTTACCTTTTTTCAGTGGCAGGGACTTGGAGGTGAAAAGGTCAGAGATTGTGATTCTAACTCTTCTGTGCTTCAAACCTGATGGTCCTTCAGTGATGGACTTGGAGAAATGTTGATGACTCATTACAGGTTTAGTTTGCATTTTTTTAAAACTTTGTCATGCTAATTTCAAACTGTGGTTGAACAACTTGAGTGACTTTGGGCTTAAATGTTGAAAAGACTAGGAATAAGAAACAAGACTGTGAGAACTCCACCAGGACTTGACATTCATTGACACAGATTCTAGTTTGGAATCCCTGAAACTCAACTAAGTCCTGACATGAATACTGGAGTCACTAAGGACCTAATTACATCACTGGATATTATAAGACACCTTGCAAAAGATTTACTCAATTTATTATGAAAAATCTATGGTATAACTATGCTTTTCTGGTGTCATCAGGAGAACACAAGCAAAACTAAACAAAAATGTTGAAATGTTTGTTCAACCTTGAAGGAGTAATTCTTCAGGGAGGCATTTTCATGTTTTATTTAGTTTGGAATCCACGGTGTTAGCAACATCGTCACACTTTTGTTAGTGCGCCATAGGACTGCCACATTGTATGCTGTCAAGCGACCCAGTGAAGCGGACACTAAGAACAGTTTGTACCACAACACCACTGCCCCAATGGTGGTAAGGGTTTGACGACATTCTGGACAAGATGGTGGGTGTCAACATCAAAACTCTGTAAAGACATTATCTCTTAGTAATACATGATACTGCTAATAACATGACGGAAATGTGAGAATAATATATATTTATTTATTTTTCAGTATACATTTTTATTCACATAATAAACAAAACACTATATTTAACCGTTCATCTCAACAGATTACCATTTTGATTACAATGCTGCCCTCTTGTGTTCATATCTATGAACACCAACAAATCTTCTGGAAACAAACCGACCAAGTCTTTAAACCGACAACACCACACGGAGCAGGGGTGCTGTTCAGTTGCCACCGCCCACTGAATTCTGGGACAATTCGTACTGTTTCTTGAGCTCAGCGAGTTGAATCTGCATGTTGCAGATTTTTTCAGACACTTGCCTGAAATGCAACAAAGATATTCAAATTCAAAACTCTTCGCTTGAACAAAGTGGGAACTTTCTAAAAACCCCAATTCACATAAAATGGAGACTTTGTTTAAAACATAATTGAAAACAGCATACAATAAAAAAAATACAACTATACTAAATAGATAACTAAAGCCAAGCCACTGTATTATTTTTATAATATTTTCACTCATTGTAAGTATGATGCCTACAACAAGACCAAAGACTAATTACTACAAATTCCTAGCAGTCTCTTGGATGAGAAGTTAAACCAAGTTGCCCATAGTTTAGCTTCTTGCTGTTGTTTTGTTTTTGGTCCATTTTGTCTTCAGCAGATAAAACATGTTTTTTTGTCACACTGTCTTTACCAATTTTTACATTTTGTTCAGGTGTAGGTTATTCGGTTTTAGGTCGAACAAGAATTGATGATAATGTCACCACTGATGTCAATGTGTAAATTACTGCAGTACCTGTGGACGGCCTGAGCTCGGCTCAGTTGACAGTTGAGGCGTTTGACAATAGCTTCATATCGTTTGTTCTGGATCTGACATAAAAGGAAATAAGAATATAAGAATAATTCAGTTTTACATAAATGTTAAAATATGAATGTAGCTTATAATGTAAAAAAACCTCAATTTCTTTCTTCATTCCTGTCTGAGTTTCAAGCTCTTTCTGCAAAAGCTCTGTCTTCTTGGCTACAGCCTTTTTCATAAGACAGATCTTTTCTTTCAGAGCATCATTTTCTCTCTGCAAAACATTAAAACAAAATTAATAAAAGGTCATGGATGGATGCCACATGGAAGTCTACACATACATCATCGTGTATTTTACTTGCCTGTGCCGTACACACTGTTTTTCCATCAGAGCTTTCTAGATCTTTCTTCAGCTCATCTTTCCAGAGTTTCAAATTCCTGACCAGCGCTCTCTTCTCTTCAATGTTCTTAAAGACCTCTGTTTGGCTCATCATGTGCAAAACAGCAGCTCTGTGACTCTCCATCTTGGTTCGGTAGTCAGTGAACTTTACCAGTGCCACATGAGCCTTCTCCTCCTCCCCGTGTACATGAATCTTGAGTTCTGTATTCTCTTTGCTGATGGAAACACACCGATCATGTAGGCATTTTGTATGCTGCTCCAGGTCTTCCATGCTGATCTCCAACAGGAGTATCTCCCTCACTGTTGTTTTCAGCTGCTGCTCTACCACCTCACTTCTTCTTTCAACATCTGTAAGATTGGCCTCAAAGGAGGAGCCATTCATGTCGTTTAAGTTGACAGTGTACTAGTAAAACTGATTCGCTGATGCAGTGTATTAATGAATTCAACTGTTAAAAAAATAAGGTGAACCTGCAGAGAGCTGAGTATCTTCTGCTTCTCTTTCAGTGCCTCAGTCTGGATGGTGCTGTGGTGGCTGACATCCTCGACCGCTTTGTTTAATGAGAGACCCAGAACTTCCTCTGTTCCTAATCATAAAAGCCAAATCTCACACACTGTACATTTAAATGGCCACTCGGTGGAACATATTTCAATTATTTTATAACTACACTAATATAACAGGGAGAAATTGTGCGTAAACTATCTCACTGGTGCCTATGAGAGTGTACACACAGCTAAAAGGATAAATGATCGATAACCAGAACATATAAAGTAGTTCGTCACGATTGATCTTTTTTTAAAAAAAAATTAGATCACATTAAATTAAAAACTTTTAGAAAGTGGCAGATACGTTATTAATTACGGGATAAATGGTGGAACTACAATTACATGTTTAAAATGTAACATAATTGAAATTGAACGCTAAATACACGAACAGGAATGTTGAGGCAAGGGATATATAACTTGTAACCATCATCCTCTTACCTTTATCACTAGTCTTGAAACCTGCCATTTTGAAACTACTTTGCTTTGTTTACTTGACGAAATATCTTAATATTGATGAATTAATTAAATTAAACATGTTAATGGGGCCCTCGACGGCATTTTTAAAAAATGATTCTGCTTGGATAAACTAACGGAAGACTAAAACTACAGATACCACAGTGAAATGGGACTTTCTTGGAAAGCTTCCGGGTCCGGGTCTAGCTAGCTTCCGGTTTCGCTAAAACATTAAAAGGAGCGTGTGTGTGTTTTTAGTTGTTGTTATTTTTGGTAATCAGTTGATGCTTAAATGTGGCGACATGTTGGTGAGTCGCTGGTTACGGTTACGTTCGCTGTGCAACCGCGTGTGTCCTCACACCAGAAGAGAAGAAAGAAAGGGACTTTTGTGGCGGAGGACACTGATAGGACACCAGTTCACCGGCACATTGGCATCATCGCGTCCCTGTCACAGTGATGTAGGGGACTTGTACCAGAACGAGTGTATACAGAGGTACCTGCAGCAGCTCATGCAAGAATACAGATACATCTGCCAGAGGTTAGAGCTGCCTCACATCAGCGAGGCAGACAGAAGAGCATTGATAAAGAAACACACAGAGCTGCTGCCCCTGGCAGATGTCTTCACTGATATTGAAGAAGCCTTGAAAGATCAACAGGAAGTGTCCTCACTACTGCTTGGTGAGTATTAATTTATACACTGTGGTGCGATTAATACGCAGTTGTCATTATAAAGTATTTCCTTTTTAGACCAAGCATACATACATATTATCCTCGTTATACTATAATATTTAATTTTTAATATTCTCACAATAAAATATTAAAAAATAAATCAACATCCTATCTTTTACTTAACCATTTATGTTTAACCTTGACTGTAGGTTCAGTTGGAGCCAAAGATGAAGATAAACAACTCACCGAACTGTTAAAAGAAGAGGAAGCACAAATATCCTGCAAGGTTTTGACATTAAGAAAAAATGTGAGGTCAACCAACCATATCTGTGAATCCATATATACATTTTAGTGGTGTGTACAATTGTGTATTTGCTTTACACATTGTCTCTGCAGCTTGTTAAAGCTCTTGTACCCATTGATCCTCTTGACTCCAGTAATGTCCTGCTTGAGGTTATGGCAGGACGAACAACAGGAGGAAAGTATTCTAAAACACTTTATTCCTGAATAATGATGGGGATATACATGGATTTAGAACATTTTATTATCTTACAGGTGATATTTGCCAGCAGTTTACCAGAGAAATGTTTGACATGTACAGGGGCTACGCCTGGTTTAAAAACTGGGATTTTGAGGTTTATAACTACACACCTGCGGAATATGGTGACTTATTTGTTGTTAAGCTCAAAATATCTAAAATCAAATTAAATGATGAGGAAAGTGTGACACTGACTCTGTATCTCAGGGGGTTTGCACCATGCAGCTGTCAGAATAGCTGGAATCGACGTGTACAAACATCTGAAACATGAAGGAGGAACGCATCGAGTCCAGAGGATCCCCGAGGTGGGCCTCTCCTCCAGAATGCAACGTATCCACACAGGAACCATGACGGTCATCGTCCTACCTCAGCCAGTGGAGGTGGTGGTCCACTTGTTGCTTTTCTTTTAAACTGCAAATGTTTTAGACATTATTACTGAGACTAAAAAGTTTTTTGTGCCTTTTGTTAAAAAGTTGGATTTGCACATTGACCCAAAAGACCTTCGCATTGACACCTTCAGATCTCGTGGAGCAGGAGGCCAGAGTGTCAACACAACAGATAGCGCTGTCCGAGTTGTTCATCTTCCTACAGGTAAAATAATCTCTATAACAAAATGTCACTCTGTACTGTTAGGTTTAAATGACATTTGTTGGCATTGCTTTGCTTTTTAGTTATTATGTTAATGCTCAACTATAGACAGACTGTTGTTCTGCTGGTGGAACCGATGGAACCTGATGTAGCCTAAATAACTCCAATCACATTGAGGAGCGTTAGCTTCGATGAACTCTGAGCTAGGCTCTGTTGATTAATGTTCAAGACACTTAGTTGACACAAAGTCTCATGTTCTTACACTCTTCTTCCTCATTGAATGTTCACTATTTTCCACACAACTACAACACTAGGTCTTTAAACTGCCCAGTTACTCCTTCAAAGCAGCCTGCTGTTTTACATGAACTAACCTCCTAAAAACAGGAACAGTGGCAGAATGTCAGCAGAGTCGCTCCCAGCTCCAAAACAGAGACACTGCCATGCGCATGCTGAGAGCCCGGCTTTACCAGAGCATGATGGGTGAAGAAATCAAGCACAGACAAACAGTGAGGAAGCAACAGGTGGGCGAGCGTTCCCAGTCGGACAGAATTCGCACCTACAACTTCAGCCAGGACAGAGTCACAGACCACAGGACGGGCCATGTGGCAAGAGATATTAAGGTAAGAGCCTAAATGTGTGGCTCAGAAAGTTAAATGAAATGATAGGAATCTCTAAAAGTCTCCATTTGCAGGAGTTCATGAGAGGGGGAGGGGCTCTGGACAACCTGATCTCTGATGTTCTGGAGAACGAAGAGAAGCAGGCTCTCCTGGAGCTGGTGGAGAACAGAGGAAACGGCAGGGATCTGACAAATCCGGACTAGTGAAGGCATACAGACAGACGCTTTAAAAAGTGGAGGATGGACACAAAAAGTCAGAAAGTATGTCAATACAATGACAAGAGAGGACACATTGTCATATTATTTCTAAGTATCTCATTATATTATGATGCAGTACTTTTTACAAAAGTGATTAACGAATAAGCAATATTTTGGAAACATTACTTCCATGTATGAGAGGTGTGTTCATAAAAGGTTCAAAAATTTGCAGTCATCAATTTGCTGGTTTTCTCACAATCAACTTTATTGGTCTTTTTACATACGTATACATATACTGTACACACTACAATATGTTCTCTTTGCATTTAATTCACTGGTTCCCAAAGTGGGGGCTGGATCCCTTTTGAGGTGTGTTGTTGTGTGGGGGTCAAATTAATGTATTTGTGCCATGAGTACTGTCACAGTGGGGGAAAATTATTAGATTATAATTTTGTTTCCTTTTTCATTGATAATGTTTTTAGGAATATTGGTATTTTAAATAAGGTTAAGTGGAGTTTTGAAGCAGTAGCTTTGAATGTTTCAACAGTAGCCCTGTTAACGAAAGGGGGTGCTGCAAGAAAGGTTTTGGAACCAGGGATCATACTCATTCCTGAGGAACACTGACTGCTTTTAGGAGCTTCAGGAACAAAATAATTTTCTGTGCTACCTCAACACACCTAGATTATTATAACAAAACCAAACTCTGCAAACAGGATATTTTTTGTATCTGACAAGTTTTATTTGGATAATCCTTCCAACCTAAAATATAAAAACTTAATTGCCTGTTTTATGGTTAAATATTTTAAAAAAACACATTTTTTCAGATTCCTCTGATATTAAACAATGATATAAAGAAAAACTGATGAAAACCTGGAGAAGCTGCTGAACTGCTGTGCTGAAGCATCTGCACTTATCAGATATAGTGAAGACAGAATTTTCCATGATTTATAAATATAAAGATGGTTCTGACAATAACGTTGGTGCGAACAATGAGAATGTCTTTCAGATTGCATTTTGGGGTTGAAATATACTAATTACCTGTTTGACAACATGTTACTTTTGTCTGTGATAAAAAAATCTTTTGTCCTTGAAACTACTGTGTTAGCATCAGTCGTCGTCATCTCTCTGTCGGAGGCTTCTTGATTTGCCATTCTGTGTCTTGTTTTTCCTGAACAAAGCAGGGCCGCTGTCATCTCCGAGGGAGGTGATGATGCGCTCCTTGAACTTGAACCTTGGCTCTGGTGGTAGGTCGACAACAGTGGAGACGCTCGCTGCACCTTCGTCCACTTGGGGCAACTGCAGGTCTACTTTGGCACTGGAGAAAGACAAAATCAAACGAAATAAAATCAGTGAGTGGCATCGTAATAGTGAGAAGTTCTGACAAATGTGGACCAGTGTTTTCTTACTATGGATCTTCCTCTTGTCGGATCTGTTCCCAGGCTCCATATGGATTCGCGGTTTTCTGTCTTTTGGCTTGTGTCACCTGTTCCTTCTTCTTCACCTCTGTTTTCTTCTCTTCAGGTTCAGCTGCTGTTCTTGGCTCCTCTTCCTTTTTCACATCTGGAGCCTTCTCTTCAGGCTCAGCTTTTTCTTCATCTGTTTTTGCTTCTGATTTCCTTTTCTGACACATGTCAAGTTCAAGTTGGTCAAAGAAAAGGAAAATAAGAATTATCTTATTTCTTATCTATAACCTATTTCTTCTTACCCTGAAGCTGATTTTGGGGATTTTAGGCTGCTGCTGACTGGCTTGATCAGGAGCCTCTGCTTCCTTGGACGGTTCCTTGGCTTCATTAGAGCTCTCGCTGTCCTCTTTTTGTTTTTCTTCTACTTCTGGAGTTGGTTCAGCTTGAGAAGTTGAAGACTCTTCCGGACTCTCTTCGTTCTTTCCCTCTTTGTTGGATCCAGACTCTGAGGCCTCAGTGTTGGGGAACCCTGGCGGCTTCTCCCAGCTGGATTCTGTGTTAGATAGCCAACATGATATTCAGTTTAAAAACATCTCGGTTAAAAAACAACAACAATAAAAACAAAACCAGCTGGTAATAAGGTAACAGTAACTACATTCAGTCTATAGAAATGTACCACAAGTAAAAGTGTAGAATATTGTATAATATTGCATCTTAGTACAGCAGTCATTTGCTTGAACAACTAAAGGAAAACATAGCATATTCTTACTACACATGTATGTAAAAGTATAGAAGATACAACTGTTATTACAATGGTTTCTAATATTATTTCCTTTATTCAGCAACAGTTTTCAAAATAGCAGTTTTGATGCAAGAACTGTGAAATGGTTGAAATAGGGTGGGGTAATGAATACTCCTATCTAGAAAAGTTGAGTGCTGCAGAAAAAAGGGCATGATAAACATAAAACTGAAACACTGTAGTCTAAATGTACTTAAAGGAAATGTCCTACTGTACCTCCAGTCTCTGTGTTGTAGTAATATGTATATCCTTCAGGACTGACTGCCTCCATCCAAGGAGAACTAGAATAGTTCTACAAATACACAAATGTTAAGAGTGTGTGTTTTGACAAAAAATGATAATAATTCACAATTTCATATTCATTTATATATATTTCTTACCTCTGTTTGTCCAGGATATGCAGAGGATGAAACTGCTCCTTGAAATCCTGGATTTTCCCACCGGGATTCTAAAGTTAAAACACAGGACAACAAATATTAGAAATCACCAAAAATGTGGGTAAAATAAAGCCCAATGACATTTTAAGGGGAGTCAGGTTTTCCTTTACCTCCAGTGACTGTGTTGTAATAATATGTGGTTCCATCCTCTGCTTGTCCTTCAACCCAAACCTGCATTTTTGGTTGATGTGCAGGTTTCTTTCTTTGTTTCTCTCCTTTCTTCTGCTGTACTTTAGGCTGCGGTCTTACCTGAGGATGTGGCCTTGAGGTTGTTTTGGCTGGAGGTGGGGTATAGGAACCTGAAACATAAACATTTTAATGAGACACAAGTTTCATCTCAGTAATTTAGTGTAGAACATGCTACAGTACCTCCTGCCATCCTCTTCAGATCTTCTTCATATGCCTTCATTGCAGCTTCCTCCATCTTTGCAAAGTCTTTGGACATACGTTCCTCCTGCTTTTGCTTTTCAATGCTCTTCTTTTTAATCTATAAAAAGATGTAATGGTTCATGAAAACTGCTTCTAGCCAATTGGGTAACAGCTTTCAAGTCAGAGTGTAGGGCATGGTCCTTATCTTGCCTGCCAGTTCTGAAAGTAGTAGAATTTTTTAAAATGATAATATTCACACCCATCAATATTAATAATCACCCTCCCCCACACCACCCCACTTATATTCATATCCATGGATGTGAATATTAGTCTGAAATCTGCCTACCGTCATTTTTAATTTCTACTGTTGCCAGATATAATTCATAAGACATTTTCCACATTTCTAATCTCACAGTCACACTAGGACACGTACAGCAGGTTTGCTGATTCCTCCAGGGTTCTGACTTAATTTTAACTCATTAAAAAGGGGTTTCCTGTAAAAGAAACCGTTTTAAGCACATTATGAAATATTTAAACACAAATTCCCAATCTCTAGTAGTAAAAAAGTAAAAACACACTTTAATTTTAGTGTATGAAGGAGCTGCAGGGGCATTTATATATGTGCATACCTCTGAAATTTTGGCAGCCACATTTTCTTTGTGATTCTTCCCTCTTTCGTGGAATTCGACGCTCTGCGAAGGAAACAACAGACATAGACTTATTATTATTATTATATTTAGGTTAAATCTGTTCGCACAGTCATTTTTAATATGACTATGTGGGCTCATACATTTTTTCTTTCATTATTTGTCTACATAAAATCCGTTGTGAACCATTGTTAACTCAACAGATTTACACTTTATTTTTCTTAATAGTCATCAGGATTACGTTTTTCTCTGTATAGCCCACGCTGTCTACTCACAGGCTTGTTGTCTGCAATCCAGCACTTGCAGTACTGACAGAATTTCCTCGGTTGTGATTTCCAATAGTCCGCCCTGTAAACGGACAACACATACTGTTAATATTAAGACCAAAACAGTCAGAATGAGCTGGATTAGCCCTAGCGTTGGCAGCTAACGTATTTCAAAATTATTAAATCGTCTCGGTTACGTTCCGTGGAGGTAAACCGATCAAATGAGCAGTGTAACTTACATTATAGCTACTTTTTGTTAGGTAAAAATTAAAAATCCTCTTCGCACATTTCAACAATGAAAACAACGGCCGTGGCTAACGACGTCATCAAAGAGCGACAACCCAAAAACTTCCTCATGATATTGATAAGATTGTTTTAAATGCATCGCGCCGGGGAAAGTCGGTTGGTACAGCAGCAACATTGACCAACACAACAAAAATAAAAAGGTACAACACACAGAAATGAATATTTATTAGTAACAAGTTCTTACTGTTCACTAATACTAGATAAAGAGACATTCCTCAAAAAGTTGCTGCAAATCATTTTATTCATTGAAAACAACAACAACAAATAAGTACATTTACGCCATAATTATTTTTGCTGTAGCAAAACACAATTTAAAGTTTGTCTTTCAAAAGGAGTACACTATGGTTGTTTTTTAAATGATCAAATATGAATCTAAAGGTTGAATCTAATTTTTTAAATAAAAACTTTAAATAATGTTAAATCTGTTAAAATATAAAGTCTTATTGTGAACAAGTAGAGATTTATAAACTGTATGTGGAATTTACTTTCAAATAAAAAAAATACCGAGTCAACTTTACCATAATTTTACAGTTATTTAAGGCGAAAAAAGATTATTATTGTTATTGATAACATGAATGTACCTAAGATTAATGACTAGCGATAAAGTCGCAATGAGGACATGTCACCAACAGGGGTCATCAGTGATAATGTGTGGTGATGTGAAGTCTGCCGGAAATGGCGGAGAAGAAGAACTTGACGTGACCCTCCTCTCCTTAAGGACTCTAGATAGAACATAACTCAGCTGCTGCTGGTACGTGCTCTCTCTACAGTTCGGTGCTGGGTGAAGGTTCGTGTCTGCCCATGAACGGCAACATGGCCGCTTCCTCACACCGGGTCATGTTGGGTCCGTTGGTCGCTGCCATCGACCAGGGAACGAGCTCCACCCGGTTTCTGGTGAGTGTACCAGCCGGCCTTGTATCATTCAGTTCCAGCTTGATTTATGGAAACAAATCAAATAAAGAACAGTATTAATATTAAAGGACACGGGTGTATCGGCTTACAACCATATGACGCGGCAGAGCATGTAGGAATTTATAATAAGAATTAATATACAATAACTTTAAATCACAAAGGATAAGTTGTCTATGATGCTGTGTTCATCAGTAGAAATGTAGACCCTGTTCATTGTGTGCAGGTGTTTAATTCAAAGACAGCAGAGCTGCTCAGTCACCACCAGGTGGAAATCAAACAGAGCTTTCCTAAAGAAGGGTAAGTTAAATATCAGTTTAACTCGCTACCCTAATATTGAAGAGCGCAGAAATAACCAAACATGATTTTCTGTCTGTAACTTCTCAGATGGGTGGAGGAGGACCCCAAAGAAATCTTGCAGTCAGTGTACGAGTGCATGGAGCGCACATGTGAAAAGCTCACCCAGCTCAACATAGACATCTCCAACATCAAAGGTTTGTGTACTGTATGTTGCTCTTTGTTATTCACTGAATTGTGATCAATTGCTTTGGTCTGTTCTACAGAGAGGTTTGTCATCTAATGTGTGGATTATTTCTAATGTCTGTCCAGCTATTGGAGTGACCAACCAAAGAGAGACTACACTTGTTTGGGACAAAGAAACAGGAGAGCCTCTCTATAACGCTATTGGTAAATTTGAATTGCTTACATGTTCAAGTATAGTTGCTATGCTTCCTAAGCATAGTATACAAAAACAAAATCTATTGTTTGGTGATTCAATTGAACTTTTCTGGTGTTTTTGTTGTTGTTATTTTAATAGTTTCAACAATGTTAACTACTTATCTGCCTTTGTAGAACTACCGTATTTTCCGCACTATAAGGCGCACCGTGTTATAAGGCGCACCTTCAATAAATGACATTTTAAAACTTTTTCCATATATAAGGCGCTACAGTAGAGGCTGTAGTTACGTTATGCAACCATTAGATGGTGCCGCGCTAAAGGGAATGTCAACAAAACAGTCAGATAGGTCAGTCAAACTTTATTAATAGATTACAAACAAGCTTTCCACAACTCCATTCACTCCCAAAATGAATAAACAGCTGTTTTATTATTTTCTCTGAGGTAAAGCATTAGCATTTTCGTGACACATCTTTAACATCTTTTAACAACAGCAAGGTATAACATTTTACTTTTCCTCCATTCAGTCAACACGCAAAAAACAGTCTGATACTGTTACGGTAAATTAAACGTTAGTGCAATCACAATATAGTGACACTCGTAATGTGCAAAAACAATAACAAGTGCAAAACAATAACAATAACAATAAAGCAATAGCATAATAACTGTAA